AGGGAGGGAGGGAGGGAAAGAGCAACAGAAGAATGTTTATATGTAATGATGCAAGTGTCATGTAACTCAAGTTTACAAAACAACACTTGTACTGTATTTGTTATCCTTTTCCTCTTCAGTTGGGATGTCAGAGTCTCAAACACTTCTAAAGCTACGCATGTAGTAGAGGCCCACACTGCTGAGGTTGGTTTACTATGCAATAATAAGTTGTCACGTTTCACATACAGACACATCTGTCAATGAGCATTCATGCGTATCATTATATTATTATTATTATTTATTATTATTATGCTATAGTAACATATTTTACTGTTACTTTCTACTGCTACTTTGCAGGTCAATTGTTTAGCATTCAATCCTTACAGTGAGTATATCCTAGCAACTGGTTCTGCTGATAAAGTAAGCATTTTCCTGTTTACAATTTGATACTTCATATGTTTTCTTTCTTTACTCCACTCCTACTGGTTGTATCATCCTTTCTCTCTCTCCCACTCTCTCATTCTTTGTCTCACACCTTGTTTCTCCTACTCACTTTTTTTACAATGTACTACTATTACTCTCTAACTTTCTCTATCTTCTTTTTCTCCCCCCTCACTCTCTTTCTTCCTCTCTCACTCTCTTTCTCCCTCTCTCACTTTTTCACTAATCTCTCTCTCTCTCTGCTGTATCTTTTTATACTCTTTCCTTTTCTTATCTCTCCTCTCTCTCTCTCTCTTTCTCTCTCTCTCTCAGACTGTTGCTTTGTGGGATATGCGTAATCTAAAGATGAAGCTTCATTCATTTGAGTCACACAAAGATGAGATATTTCAGGTCCAATGGTCCCCACATAACGAGACTATACTTGCATCAAGTGGTACTGACAGGAAACTCAATGTCTGGGATTTGAGGTAATTAAGTTTTGTACATATTATATTCATTATTTGTTATTGTTATTTCCATGTTATTATAGTGTATGATTATAATTTAATTATTATTATTAATTCATCGTTACTTAATTGATTAATCTATTTATGTTCGTGTGTGTCTTTCTTGTTATCGTGTGTCATTAATTATTATTAATAGGTCTTGTGTACACAAATACTCTTAATCATTATTAATGTGAAACAGATCAAAATTTATACATTAGGCCACATAACTCTAGGTAGAATCAGTTCAAACTTTCTACATACATGTAGCATCTCAATGTGTGTCAGAAAATGTAATAAAAATTAGGGGTGATTTTGGAGCCTTTTTACATGGGCTATAGCCTTAGATATTTTTCAGAAAGGACATAATTTTAAGAATACTTGTAGCTTCAGATTTTGAGCTCAGAATCAACTCAAACTTCTAAGGACATTAATATGGTGTTTTCAGAACCAATTTTTTTTAATTAAATTTTCATTGTTATGCAAGTCTATCTCTCAAATGACTGCTATAATCATCCATTGTCCACTCACTGGTTATCCTGTACAGTGACTAATCTTCTCAAGAGACTACTACTTGTTTCTGATTATTTATCTTATCAATGGCAGGACCACATTGACTAATGCCCTCACCACACACACTGCTAGACATTGAAAACATTGTGGTCCTTATCTTGACAAGGGCACTTACTACCAAACACATGTGTATACACTGCTAATTATCATGTACTCATGACCATGAACATGACACTTTATGAGTTTTTAGTTGTCTTTGGCTTGTGAGTTAATGGTTCTGTTGTTGCTTTTTTTAAATAGTAAAATTGGAGAGGAACAGTCACAAGAAGATTCTGAGGATGGTCCACCAGAATTATTGGTAACCATCACACACTTTATCTTCCTTCCCCCCCTCTCTCTCTCCCTCTCTCTTTTCTCCTTTTACTCTTCCTTGTGTATTTCACTTCTTTTGTCATTCACTTCCTTTTGTCATTAGTTTATTCATGGTGGCCACACTGCTAAGATTTCTGACTTTTCTTGGAACCCCAATCAGCCCTGGGTGGTCTGCAGTGTCTCTGAGGACAATATCCTACAAGTCTGGCAAATGGTAATGATACAAGCTTTACAGTGTACCCCGTCCTAATGTCCTCTCTTCCATTCATAGGCTGAGAATATATACAATGACGAGGATCCTGATACTCCTGCTCAAGAGCTTGAACAAATGTCACACCAGCAGTAGCAGCAATGAGTCATGAGACTATCACATGACAATACTTGCTGTACAAACAATCTCTCTTTTCCTCTCTCTCTCTCTCTCTCTTTCTCATTTTACACACTTTCCCATTTAAAAAAATAAAAAGTTTTGAAAATGAATATGTATCAGTTAAATAATGCACATGATGCCTGCAGTAAAATGTCCACCAGTTCACTTGCTGCTAACAAAATTTTATTCCATCAAGGCTGCAATTTATAAATTTTATTTTGACACCTTGTTTACACCTAAAGGTGTGAACAAGATTCTTGTTAACACCTCAAGGTGTGAACAAGATTGTATTGTTTAATTTTATTTTCCTTCAGCAAGGGGTTATTGCTATAGGCAGAAATAATATTAATGAACTCTTAATTTTTGCCCAAGTTATTATAAAGCGGAAATGATGCATCTATTAAGTGAGTAAAAGTATTACATTATAAATAATAATACTTGTGATCAAAAAAAGAAGAAATAATATTTTTGTCTACAGACGAATGAAAAACAACAGTTTTGTATGTCTCTAAACAATAATAAATTAATAATAATAATGTTTTTTAATATTCAGAACACGGAAAGTTTGAAAGAGTTGAGAAAAGAGAACCAGGAACAGAAAGACGCACACGTACAGGAGGGAGGGATATAAAACAATTAAAAACCAATCCACAAGAGAGGTGAGATAGAAAGAGTGGTGATGAACTGATGCATGAATGAGAGAAAGAGTGACCCTTGTACAGGAGCAACAAAGTTCATTTTAAACAAATGTCTCTGACGATCGTTTTGCTGTTTTCTTAGGACTCCCTGTAGAGGCTCCATTGCTGCCGGTTTTAACTGTCAGCTCTTGTATTTTCCTCTGATACTCTTCCTCCATCGCCCTCATCTTCTTCTCCGCCTGCTTCATGCAGTACTCCATCACTTCGGTCTTGTACTTTTCTAGCGTCTCCTGGACTTTGATTCCCTCTTCTCCGTTACCGTTTTTATAACTATCAGCAACAAAGGAAATGGCGTCCTCGTCTGAATCGATATCAGCTGTTTCATCATCTCTCACTGGCTGAAGGTTGTCCACCCAGCTGTTAGGTCTACGAGAAGATACGCCATTAGTGTTTGGAGCGGATAGAGAGGGCTGGAGCCTCCTTTGACAGTGAGTCTCTGCATCTTGTAGTCTTGACTGGACTGACTGCCTGATACTCTCCACCAACTTGTGCTCAGTAGGGCCACTATCAACTGTTTTCTTATTGGACTAAAGGAATTAAGAAAAAACACAATAAATACTATACTACTAATAATGATGATGGTAGATACTTATACATGCATGTACATGTATATGCAAGTATATACTTGCACCAATCAATGTGCATACGGTAATACTCACCTCAATGTATGGTAGTCTTACTGGGCTCTCAGTACACGAGGAACCAGGTAACTTATGTACCGCTCCTTTAGGAAAGAGAGAGAGATAATAAAGTTTTCATAGAATGCTAATATAAGCACCAGTAGTGTTTATGTAATGATAGTAATAGCAATTCCAAGTAATGCTACTCTTACCATTTTTGGGCGATGATGCTGTGTTCTGTAATGGTAGGTGACCGTTATCTCTAGGAGCCATGTACACGTACGACTCGAAATCATCTTCAAGTTCGTCCTCGTCCGGCAACGGACCCAAATACTCGTACTGGTGGTGCAACACGTCATCAGATAAAACAGTAAAGGAGTCGTCCTGTCCATCCGGAGAGGTCCTCTTGTCCGAGGTTAAACGAGGGCTGAGACAAACGTAGCTATCATTCTCACTGTCAGACTCCTCGTCTTTGACTGATGACTTGGAAGGAGAGGATACCTTAGGACTGAGGTAGTCGTATATGGGATTACTAGGAGTGTTGGGGGTCCCTGCTAGGGGACTGGGACTGAAGACCGCAGAGGATCTGTTGCTGCCAGCATTAGTGATTGCAAGGTTAGGCATGCTGGTATTGAGGGACGAGATCTGACCAGTCGAAGTACTGCCTCTTGATCTGGGGAGAGTTGGTGGGTTTGAGACCACGTCAGAGTGACAGGAAATGCGTAAGAGTGGCTTGTATGTAACTGAAGAGTTGTCTTCTGAATCATCACTCTGAGTAGGTATGTACCTATGAAAGGGAGGCAAGGATATAATCCAGTATACAAACAGAGATTAAATAGGGATAGACCATAGATTAAACAATACTCGGCTTATCACGATAATAATTGTTTTAACTTATATTTTTATCGCATAATTCCATACTGAAAATGCTCGTGAGGCTAATATAAAGGAAGTTATCATAACACGAGTAAGTAATCAATTCTTAATGTGTTGATCTTTCTTTAATCCAATGATGAAACAATAAGCTCCCTAGACTTCCCTTGTTATTGTTATGGCTAAACAATTATTACAGGCTCCATTATTTACAGTGACAAATGCTAACATCTGTATACCTACTCTGACACAATCCAATCACACCCAAATATGCTATCATACTGATACTGATAATGTTATATTATTTTATCTAATTCATGTATAGGCACATGTACTATTATGGCCAGCTATCACCAATATGAGTCTATCTGCAGTGTTTGCCATAGGACACTGTGGGCTACTGAGCTATACAATTACTACATACAAGGCTATCAGTTTACTGATCCTAAGGCTGGATATTGAAAACAGTTCATGTGTGAGTTGAGGGACACACAGGTTGAAGGGTTACATCATGTGTACAGTTTACAATACACAATCCTCTGTGTGTGTGTGTGTGTGTGTGGCTGGATAGTGATGAAAGTGTGTAGTGTATACATAAAGAGAGAGAGAGAGGGGGAGGGAGAGGGTGAAAACAAGACTCACTTATAATTTGGTTTTGCGAGTGTCTCCTCTACCGATATCTCTGGCATCTCCTCAAGACTTGGTGTACGAGTGTTTGATCTCATAGAGAGGACCAGTGGACTCCTTCCTCCTTGTAACCGACCGGCGGAGGAGAAGGTGTACAGGCGAGGAGGAAGATCCTCAAACTCACGACTGTAACGCTTTGGAGGAGTAGTGACTGAGACTGACCTCTGGATATAATGAAGAAAAACACAAAGAGAGAGTAACATAATTATAGTAAAATCATAATGATAACAGAGGGATTACACACGCAACTAATGAAAGATCAAAGAACATCAAAGGACCAAGAACTACTCCCATAATAACGACAAACTTAGCCACCAAGAATAACATTACCGACCCTAAACCAACAGAGGGCATTCCAAATCCAACCCTCATCAGGCAACAAGTGTAACAAAAATACCAAAATACACGCCCTGGAATACCATTATAAGTAAACCAACCCTATTAATATATACATGTATGGCATACAGAAAGGAAAAATGAAAGGTCATACAGGATATATGGCTGCAACTATTATGTAAGGTCTAGTGGATACAATGTGGAACTCAAAGAGCCTAGCTGTGTGTGGCACGATAAACAAGTGGAAGGTACTCAGACTGCTTAGTAGTCTACCACCCACCCTTACTAGGTAAATATACAGTAATTTACAAGAGGATCAGGCACAAATTATGTTAATTGTGGATTTGTGGTCAGATTAGACATAAACAGGTTGTGATAAGAACAATGCATGAATAGTGACAGCCACTATCAGATCTGGGGGGCACCACATTGTAATCAGTCACTCCATCAGCTCTTCCCTTAAGACTAGCTGATAAGGAGAAGGTAGAGTGTGTGTCTGAAACACATTGAGAAGGATAAATTATGTTTTTTTAAAGATATAAAGGCTATGGGCAGTACATAAACATTCGGATGAAACCATAAGAGTGACTGTCACTGAGTGTCATGTCAGTTGGCACACCTGCAGATGCATGTACACCTATTGTCCTATTCAAACTTGGTGCACAAAACATTACAAAATTAAAAGCAGCTGCTAAAAACATTCAAGCACATACCATGCATTGCCCTTTGAAAATGATATTCAATTATTATGACCCTCTGGTGGAGCAATGGCCGGCGCTCATTAATATACTTGTTGGCATACAGAAGCCTTGGACAATGTGTAATTATGACAATAAAATAATAAGTTACAGTGTTAGGTCTGCATGCTTTTATCTAATATGAAAAGGAATGAGCCCAAGGCAACATTCACTGCATGTAAGACAATGAGGTATGGGGGGCTTCCTGATCAAATGAAAATAAACGAGAAACATGTACATGTACAAGAACTAATCATGTACAATATGTACATTACAGCTACACTACAACACCACCAAAAGGTACAAGAACACCGTGTAGTAAGTACATGTACACTTACATCTCTCGGTCTGAGCTCAACTCCATTGACTGATGGTGGGGAATCATATGTCTTTCTGTAGGAAGAGAAAGAGAGGAAAAAGATAGTTCTGATCAATGTCACACTAGACACTACACCCATTACAACATATACTCAACAAACAAAGGCGCATGTGCAGGCACTTTATTATGCACAAAGCCTATTCAATACATACACTACATGTACATCGATCCATTATCATTATACACTAGTAACATTACCTTGGTATTACCCCAGAGCTGCTCCCTCTCATTGACTTTGATGAACGACTAAAGACTGACCTCTTAGCATATAATGGAGTCTAGAGAAAGAGAGAGAGAGAGAGAATAAATCATTGGAAGGCAAAAACAAAACAGTCTACACAACACAAAGCTAAGAAGGAAAATGCTTTCAAAACCATGTCCTAATTGTTATCAATCAAAAGACACAACAAACATATGCTGGTATTGATAGTAGCCATGTTATTCTAAAGGAAACAGGCACAAAGACAAGTTTTCACAAAGAGAAGTCCCTGAAATGGGATCACATTGTGTAACAAGGCTGTTGACATGCTGTTCACACTGTCTGAATGAGTGGGTGAGAAAGGGGAGTAAGAGTGGGCCATGAATACTCTAACTACTTAGCAGTACACAATATGATCACAAGTTCACAACACACTCCAGTTGAATCACAAATTATGAATATCATTAGTAGTACTATCATCAAAGGAAACCGAGCAATGATATGATACACACTCTCACATGAGCTCCTGTTGACTACAGGTATAAAGAATTATATCACAACTTGTGTACTTTTAAAACGAGTGTTTGGACAAGTACACTATAGTACTTGTGTCTACAGGTCACTATTGAATTAAATGAAGCACATGCAGTCATGACACATACATCAAGTTAAGTGTGTTTATCTTTGTTTGTGTGTTTGTAATTCTTCAAGGAACCAGATACATAAATAACATATTAAACAGTAAAAAAAGTATCCTGGCAATGATGAAACAGAAGCCAATCCCAGACAGTAAAATGAATTGTAGCAAGCCAATCAGCCAATGTAATGTATATCCTATACTCAATAGCTAATACTCACCGAGTCTGGTGTCTTTGATCTGCTGTCCATAGTAGCTCTTCGTCCCATTACTACTGGCCGCTGGAGAAAAGGAAAGAGAAAGAAAGAGAGGGAGGATGAGAAGAGGAGGAGTGATAATGTCAACCAGAATACCACTGATTACACAACACATGGCAGTCCACCCACACAAAAATAAATTCAATTTGGTTACACACTTCAGACAAAAACAGGGTAAAACAAGGGAGAGGCAGAAAGAACAACTTATGACACTATTGTGCATTTATTCCCAAGAGGTGTCAGAGTAAAGCACATTCTTCCTTTATTAATCAAATCTGTCCCTTTTATTTATCTCTCTCTCCCACAATGAACAAGGAGACCCCTACACTAGAGGCACACATACACACACTCCCCCATCATCTCTGAATAGTTCCACTGGTGTGCAATGTAATCCCACTGATAATTGAACGTCATCCAGCACGTATGGATGAGTGGGAGATATGAAGCATAGTTATTTCACATATATATATATATATATATATATCCTGTTTAAACAAGGAACTGAAGGAAAATAAATACTATCAAAGATGTTGATTACTCACTTCACTGCTACAATATAGCACACAGTGCCAGCTGATGCATGCAATGAGTACATGTATATGTAGCTTACTCAGCAGTTGGTTATCACTGTCAATAGCACTGCATGTGCATGTACATGTGCATGGATTATGAAGGGGACAATGGAGTCATTGATATCAATATATAATAGCCTGTAGCTATTGGAAATGATAGCCTGTAGCTATTTGAAGCAAGATAGGATACAGTGTGCAACTAAAACCAGTTACAAGGTGCACTATTGAAAGTATAAGGTGTGGGTATGCCTACACTCATATGGAGGAGCAGTAAACAATTGGCATTAACAACAATGACATCATGTATATAACATGAGAATACAATGAGAATAAACATTCTATATGCATTAGAGAGCCACTACACATACAAGACATGATGAGTGTGTGTGTGTGTATATACAGTACATGCATCATATGCATAATCCATGAGCCTATGGGAGTGTGTTATCAGCTCACTTGACTCTATCAATAATCAATTATACACATGGGAATAGTCCTTTTGTTTTCATACCAGCTCTTACTACAAGTGATATTGACCACATGCAGGAAATAGATCAAACCTCATGCATAGATATCCATTAATGCATTAGACTATGTCAACAGGGCAGACACCAAAACTACCAGAACCAGTCAAACAAGGTCCCAATAAAACCTTTTACTATTATTCTAATAATTATGGGTATCTTGTATTACCAGAAGTAGTAGTAATGGTAAAGGCAGATGTCTCTATTATGTAATTACTGTGGAAAGGAGAGGCAGAACATGTTTAGGGGCTCTCTTTATGACAAACCTAATTCACTCAACTGCATCTAAGACTCACCATAAATTAATGCTAAATACTAATCTCCATCCATTATGTATATAGATATATTACATATGTCCTCTCTCTTACCTCTGTTAGTGGTATTAGAAGTTTAACTGTGTCATGGTAATCTCCAATTTCAGCATAATCGATGGGAAGTCTCTTTCTCTATAAAGAGAGAGAGTGTGAAGATAGTATATAGCTATGATGAAAGGTGTTGGATGTATTTAAGAGAGTAAACAAGTATACATAATACCAACTACACCTAGTCCATTAATAACAAAGGCTGAGAACTACGCTCTCTCGAACATGTAAACACACACATGTTATACATGTACATGTACATGTATACAAAACTTGTTGACAGGCAGTAACAATTTTGAAACTATGCAACATACAAAACAACAACAAAGAGCCCAACAACTTTAAAGTTTGTCTGTCACTTTCAATTTGCAACAATAGCAATAACAAGGCATTCAAATATTCAAAAAGACAAAGTGTTGAATCCAGCCATAAAAAAACATAAGTGGTTGTTCATTGGTACTAATTGAGATGGAGTCAAATCTCTCGCTTTCTTTTGGTTCAAATACTGCTAAGTATTACTAATGAGCTCAAGACTAGCCACGAACAAACAAACACGCTATTAATGAATGAAATTTGATATGTCTTCTCTCCTTCTCTCTCTCTACTTTAACAAGTACCTCTCACAACTTACAATATTAGTGAAGTTTGGGTTAGCTCCACTCTGAACAAGGGCTTTAACAGTGGCTGCATAGCCTAGCTTTGCAGCAATATGGAGCGCAGTATTACCATCCTAATAACAGAAAAAAACACTAATGATATACGAACAACAATACAATAACATGCCTATAGGTAAACAATACACTAACATGCCTATAGGTAAACATATAAACAAAATTATTACTAAACAATTCATTAGGCAACTTCTAAGTATGCTAATAATGCTTGCACACTGAGGTTGCAGGTCCATATACAGTAAACCAATGGGAAACGTTAATGTTCAGTGACTGATAGTTTATGTGCACACTTTCATTCTTCTCCCATGAGTGGTATGTAAATAACGTCAGATTAGGAGCATGCATCCTCTGCCTCATAATTCCCAATCAAAACATCATATTAATTAGCAAGGCAGTTTAAAAGTTTCCAGCTAAAAGGCTAGCCAATGAGGTGCAAGATTGACAATAAATTGCTCATTTAAGTGACAAATGGTGTTGAAAAAGGTGCCTAGGTTTCACACAGGGAGCAAGCACTGCTAAGGGTTTGCTTCTATAATGCTAAGAGTGACCAGTTATCGCTAGGCAGGCGTTGAGGAGATAAAGCCATAGATAGTCTATCTCACCTTTGCTGTAATATCAAGATTAACTTTAGCAGCAGCAAATATGGGGACAAGATGGGAATGATCATATTTAGCTATCAAATGAATGGCTGCTTCTTCGTGCTGCAGAGAAAGAAAGAGAGAAAGTAAAGAGACAGTAAAGAGAGAATAGTAATAAAAATAAAATATCATTGACTCTATTCATTACAAGTATCATGAACTATCGGCTGTCAAGCTGTTTTGTAACGAGACACTTGTGTTATTGTGCAGGCTCATACTTAGGGGAGGAGAGAGAGAGGGGGAGAGGGAGAGAATGGTGGTATGTGATACCAGTAAGTTGCATCAGTGTTTGGCTCAAAGTGAAACCCTCTACTGATGTGGTTGGAATGCATAAGAGCTTTGAGTGGCACATGAGTATGATTAAACCACATTAAAAGAGCGGGCTATCATGGAGCTCTGAGCAAAAATGCATAAACATTACTAATGCATTATTATTTTGAAAAGGCAAGGGACTTGGCTGCAAATTATGAATTGGCATTATGACTTGCTACTTTTCACTATGCAGCACCAGCAAAACCCAACAAGCATCACGTAGGACCTTACCTGATTTTTGATCGCAGGGTTTGCTTTCCACTTGAGAAGGGTCTTTGCCACCTTGGCGTGTCCGTTTTGGCTAGCAAGGTGAAGAGGAGTAAAACCAGCTCCATTGACGCTGTCCACAAAGCACGAGGCCTTGAGTAGTACCTTCACAATGTCATTGTTGCCTGTCCAGGAAGCCTCGTGGAGTGCTGTGTTACCAAACTATAGGAGAGAAGGAGGATGTGATAGTGTCCCAAGGCGCTATGAGCTCCTTACCTCATCTTTGGCGAAAAAAGCTCCCTTGGATAAAAGTTTCTTCACTTCTTTGAGGTTGCCGCTTTTTGCAGCTTTGATCAACTGCTCGGAGGCGTTCATAACAGCAGGAGTACTGATGCAAAGTCTTCTAAGGAGAGAGATACCACAAAGCAGCTCAAATCCAAAAGTTGTACTGCAACAGAGAGAAGCTATAAGCACGTTTCAAACTGGGGTGGATATTTATATCAAATGCATGCTGTAAAGATGCGTGGGTGACTCACTCTGTTATTGTCATGTGACATGAAGGACCAGACATCGGGATGACGTGTAGCCAATCCGTTACGTCACGTAGTCTAGCCATTTTTGCCAGGTAAAACTACATTGATAACACAATGCACACATACAGTTGATATCACTAATGCATTGATTGCTGTAGTAGTACTATGACCATAGTATAGTACTGATAGGCATATATATACCTATACACCTATGGTTGGGACTCCTCCTCAGTGTTTACATGAGAAACCAAATGGTCGGATCTAATGCATGCATTCATAACCAAAGGGTGTAGGTTTTTATACAAAAGGGGGATCATATAAGAGATAAACAGCATGTGACATGTGTAGATTGAAAAAAAACTGGCTTTTGTCCCAAATAACTTGTTACTGGGTAAAATTGCTAGAAACAACTGATAAACTCATAATCAAAACCACAAAAGAATACAAAAACCAGCTAATTAATCATTGTTTGTCACTAGCTTGCAAAGGGACCACGACACCCTCAGACAAATTGGTAGCAATCGCTTGCCAGAATCTTCCCTCTATTAAAGTTATACAATCTCACTACACGTGAACTGACAGACACTTTACTATGCCAAGTGTCTAGTCTTAGCATAACCATGCATGCTATAGACTTGTTGACAAGGCTATTATTAAAAGGTGTATACCCAAAAGCTATTCACATATTAACCTTTACTTGCATATAATGGCATATCAATTTCAATGTGGAGTGTTATGTATACATACCAGGCTTTAATTGCATAAAGATAAATAGGCAAACTCCTGCATGATTACTTGCAAACCAGCCAACAAATTACAAAGGCAGTACAATGTGATATCATTCAAAGATACATGTATCATTCATATTTATTCACCTATTACAGGTAGTAACAGGGTTAACTCTGACCATGAAAGTGGAATGTTCTGGCTGCACTCTAGCTATAGTAGTCACAAAAGGTAAGTTAACAACTTGCCAATAAAGTTTGAATTTGATCCTTTGCTTTTATTATGATATAAGGACACATACACACACATCCTTTAAAAACAAACTATTATTCATTAGATTAATAGTTTACAATAGATCTGGCCAGCACATTGTTTTTATCCATAACAATAAATCATTAACCAACGTATAAACAAAAGCAACACTCAGTGACAGACTAATAATTCATTAGAAGTGCCAGACTAATAACGTTTCCATGGTAATGTATTTCTGGCAAGTTGATCTGTGAATTAGCCGAGACAATACAAACAAAATGATGAAGGGTGCCTTGATTCGAATTTTAAAATCAGATTAATATAGCTAACTTATCTATAAAAAGCATTTAAAATTAAAGAAGTTAGGGTCATGTTTAATTCAAAATTAATAAAAATAATAGATAAAATACATTTTTCTAATAATTTTGAGGCAATTTCCTGCTGCCAGACACAGTCATCTATCATTGGTTGAATGCTCAAAGAGGAGCTAGATATGATTATTGTCAATTTATTGATGAAAAAGAGATCACCTCAATAGTAATTAGATTATACTAAACTATGATTCAATGTCTATAGCTTCTATAGCTACACAAACTAAACCACCCACTCAAAGCACATGACAGTTTCAACATTAACACTATGACAGAGGAAGAGATTGCCCACTTTGATTTGACTTGTTCAGTTGAATGACGAACATATGCAGCTTAAACAATGATGATTGGACTGTGCCACTATTATTAGCTGTAATGAATGCCAGTTCAATAAGTCACAATGCAATGAATGACATAACACAATGTAGAGAACACAAGGTACACCTGCATATGCAAATGCATACAGCGTAACTCTACCACAAGAGGTACCACACCATCTACCATAATGATTAACATATTAAGTGGATTTGAAATTTATATTCAAATGCAACCAAAAATGCATTTATAAAATTTGGCAATGCGTGTGATTTGACAATCATTACTGTTTCCTCTTATTTGTATTGTTTCCTATTTGTATATGTAAACTTTTGATCTTAAAAGTTAATCTGTGGACACGCCTTTGTTCAATAATTACTAAACAAATTATTTTTGTAGTGAAGATTCTCATGCTATCTACCTTAGAGTGACTTTTAATTGCAGGTACTAAATTTTGCGATTTTAGCACAAGGTAGATTTTGCTGGTATTAAAAATTGCGATTAAGTAATTATTACTAATAGTTATATGGCATCATGATGTCATTATTAATAATCGCGCATATTAATAATTGCGATTTTTAACCCAAACGCAAAATTTGCAATTAATAGTACCTGCATTTAAAAGTAACCTTAAGGTATATAGACTTTCTCTGGACTATTTTTGATAAAATGTAGTACCTGTACCCTCTAAACTTCCCCTTTCAGTCAAGTAATAGAGACAAAATTACCATCACGATTATTTATATTACCCCATGTCTGTCATGATTTTAATAAAACTTCTCAATGATTTGAACTACCGGTAGCTTAACATTCTGAATTGCATTGAAATAATAATCATCATTAGATAATATCAGGATTTATACACGTGAATTAAAATGTCTTACAGTTGTTAATGACTTATTTGTCCACAATGAGTGAGAGTTATACATACATTAGGTCTCTTCAGCACAGCAACACCGCCCGCCACTGCTACACTTGCAACAAGAACAGCACTTTGAAACTGCAGGAGCATCGGGCTTGTTACCGCAGTAACACGTCGCGTCAGTTTGAACCGATTGGTCTGCCCTGGTAGAAGTCGAAGGAGGGACGAGTGACACTGAAGAAAGATAACTGCCTGGAATTAAGTTGGAGTCAGTTACAGTTAGTAATTCATCCAAATTAATGGGGAGTGTTTGTGTACCACTTTCACCTTCAGATTCAATCAAAGGAGGAAGAGAAGACTCAGGTTGTGCTACAGTTGCAAATTCCTCATTTGGTAAAGAGAGTTGAATTCTCTCAGTGTCATCTATTGAAGGAGCTGGTGAAGATCCTCCACTACAAGACTTCAACATGGCAGCAATGTTATCAAGGGCACCAGTCGATTGCAAGTGCTCTATAGCAGAGAGAGCCAGTAAAAGCTGAGAAGAGATGGCCTCATTTCCCTCTATTATAGCATTATTATCACTAGACAGAGGGACGGGATTCACTGTATCTTCAACATTGGGTGGAGGAGTACCAGTGTTGCTCATAAGTCCATTCATTAACATACTAAGATCTGGAGGTACACTAGACAATGGCTGGTTAGACGATTCATTGTTACTAGCACCTGATGTTGACTGGTGCTGTTTCTTCTTGTTTCCCTCTCCGTTGTTATTGTGCGTGAGTTGATGATTACGGAGGTGGTGTGGAGCCGTGAATGAACGCCCACACTCATCAAGGAGACACTGGTACGGCCGTTCGCCAGTGTGCGTCCTCTCATGTTTCTTCAGGTCGCTCTTTGTCGTGAATTGTTTCGGACATTTATCGTAATTACAATCAAAGGTTTCTCCAGTGTGTAGTCTTTTATGAGCCGTCAGTCGATACTGAGTGTTGAAAGACTTATCGCAGCCTTTCTCTTGACAATTATAAGGTCTTTCCCCCGTGTGGACCCTCTTATGTACTTTAAGACTGTAGGAGGAGAGGAATGCCTTTTCACAGCCATCGTGATCACACTTGTGATTGTAGCGTCCTTCGTGGGCTCTTATGTGAGCCCTGAGGTTTGAACGAGAGGCATAGGATCTCTCACAGCCATCATAGTCACACTCGTACCGCCCAGGAATGCCCCCAGACGAAGTGACCTCCTCCTCAATAACAACCTCAAAACTAGGAGAAGAGGAACAAGACATAAAGGATAGGAGTTTTTGCTTCTTTTTCAACTAAAGGATTGACTTCTTTTAAAGAAGAAACAGAGAAAACAGTCTTCACAACGAGCCTCCTTCCAAAGAATTCGCCATTTTAATCCACAGCTGATCCGCTTAATTAGAAAATGAAATTTTGAAATTCAAATTATAATGGTTAAAGAATTTTAATTAGACACACAAATTATTTTTAAGAGCACAAAAATTAAAGTCACTTATGCTTTTTTTGAAGACTTTTCTTTCTCTTCCTTGTATCTAGCGACCATTTTAGACACACCGTCTCTAATAGACGGAACAGCTCCTATACCCAATGCTTCCTCAGTAATCGTATTATCAACCTCTTCCTCAATGAAATTAAAAAACTCGCATACAATTGGACTCAAATCAGCTCCAAAAGGAGCCCAGCCAGTTAGCTTTGCAATGCAGAGATTAATCTTAGCCATTGAGTTCAGTACCCAAAGAGGAATATGACCAATAGTAAGCCCCCACTCTTCCAAGCTGATCATTTCCTTGAATGTAGAAGGATATCCACTAACTTTGAGTGACTGTCCTGTCACTTTTTCATCAGACAGGGCCAGCTTAGCTTCAGCCCTCACCACAGCA